AGAGAGAGAGAGAGAGAGAGAGAGAGAGAGAGAGAGAAAGAGGAGGAGGGAAAGAGGTGTTTAGGCAGTGTCAGCAGAGTAAAAAAATTATACCAAACTTTTTGGCACGTGCAACAAATATTTTCGAAATTGTATAGTTTTGAGGTCTCTTGCAATACTGTAAGGGTACATGTTGTTAAGAGGTGGGGCTTCCGAATTTTAAGGTCCGTCCTCGCTTGGACCAAGCCAAATAGGAAAGAAAAGAGTGTTCCTTGAAAACAAAGTTGGACAGAGCTGAGCTGTAAACCCTTGATTGTGAGTCCAGTTTCTTAACTACAAGACGCCACTATCGGTATGTAACTAGCGTAGTATTCGTTTTTGTTGCACCGAAATCTCCTCCCACAATCAGTCTGTTGCAACATCATGTCTTCACTCTGTAAAACTTCTGTTTCATCCAAATTAATAAATAACTTTGCGGATAACAAATCTGTAATTAGGGTTAGGCGATACAAGGCTGTTACGTGTCTGAGGCATACTGATTAATTTTTCAGTGCAGTAGTGTTTGACACTAAACGCCAGTACAGTGTGTGCACAAGTCAGCCTCTAGGCTGGCAGTTTTGGGGTTCACAGAAAGTACGAGAGTACGAGTTCACAGCTGATGTAGCGATAACGTCGTGGACGGACACTATTCTAGCGTTCTGTCTATACGCATTAGCATACGTGTTGAGTTCAGTGTGATCCAGTTTACAATAATGTGCTACCACAGCTGTCGCTTAACTTCCAAACGTGTTCCAGCGTTGAGGATTCTATCCCCCCCCCCCCCCCTTGATATTCAACAGGCTAAGCGGTGCTACGAAGGTCATGTTTTCAATGGTTTGTTTGTCTGTGTACACGGATTTGTTTCAGATTTGGATATCGCTTACTTTTCTGCTGTGCCTTTACAAACTGTAATGAATCTGAGTTACCACTGAGGATAAAAACAAAACTGCTTCAGTAGTGTAGATAGCGAGCTTCTCTGATGCGAGTGTCGAAGAACCAAGGTGAAGTTTAGAAAATCGAGGCAACTTTTGCATTCTCTTGGGCCAGATTTTATCTTTGAGTGACAAACATTTAGAATAACAGCTGAAGGACTTCTTCAGAAAGGAAAAGATCGCTAACCTAGTTTTGATAAGACGGCATTTTGTACCGTGAATCTCTTGCACCCTAGGAAGTTTTCAACAGGTAGAAGACAACTTCATCAGTGTTCATACTTTCCGAACGTACAGACGTATAGACGCTCGTCACTCCTCATCATGAATTTCATGCCCCAGATCGGCATCGGGGGGACTCGTGACGGTACCTCTTCCAACACAATGTTCCTGGGCCTGAGCCCGAACCCCCAGCGCCGACACACGATCGTTGATCATAACTACCATCCTCATTTCCGGGAATACGACGGTAGTGGATCTGTGAGAAACAGCCTCAACGAAATCCACATGGCAGAGATCCCGAGAGCGAAATCAAAACACAGCAGAAATCCCAGTACTGCCACCACTGGGGCCGTGAGCTGTAACATTGGGTTTGGATTTAATAACAACAATGGTCCCCACAGTGGCGGATTAGATGTCGAGGGAGAGGTTCAACACCCTCTTTTGACATTGCCTCCCAATGACCACGACGTTGACAGAGCCTCCTCTTACGGCAAATCTCTGCTAGAACATCTTCCTTTAGAGCACGACTGCCAATTAGAGGACTGTCAGAGGGTCATCATCAACGTAAGTGGTTTGAAGTTCGAAACCCAGCTCCGTACATTGAATAGACTTCCTAACACCTTGCTTGGAGATCCGAATAAGAGAAAGCGTTTCTGGGACGAAGCGAGACAAGAGTTTTTCTTCGACCGCCATCGTCCAACATTCCAGGCAGTGCTTTACTACTACCAAAGTGGAGGGCGTCTGAAGAAACCTCTGGAGGTTCCCATGGACATTTTTCTGAATGAACTCCAATTTTACGAGCTTGGTGCACCTGTCATCAGTTGCTTCAAGGAGACCGAAGGTTATATAATGGACACTAAAGATATACCGATGCCAGAAACGAAATGGAAGCGCTTCATCTGGGAAGCTGTAGAGTATCCTGAAAGTTCATTACTCGCCAAAGTCTTCGCGGTATTCTCGATATGCTTTATTTTGGTCTCGGTGGTGACGTTTTGTGTGGAGACACTGCCACAATTCGAGAATTCGGGCTGCGAGAATGTGACCGTGCTTGATGCACATGGCAACGAGACTGTGGTCACATATACAAAGTGGCTCGACCCTTTGTACCTTATTGAGAGTTGTTGCATTGCCTTCTTTGTCATTGAGCTGATTCTCCGATTCCTTGTGTGCCCTTCCAAGATGATGTTCGTCAAGAATTCAATCAACTGGATAGACCTGCTGGCAATCACTCCGTATTTTGTTTTCCTTGGTAGGTACAAGCACTGTGTGATCTGTTTCAATTTTTTTTCAGAAATCTTTCCATAGATTTGATGTGTGTGTGTGTGTGTGTGTGTGTGTGTGTGTGTGTGTGTGTGT